AGTCCTAGCCTTCACAACCTCCTCAGGTAAGGAGTTCCACAAGTTGACTGTGTGCTGCGTGAAGAAGAACTTCCTTGTATTTGTTTTAAACCTGTTGCCTATTAATTTCATTTGGTGATCCCTAGTTCTTGTATTATGGGAATAAGTAAATAACTTTTCCTTATCCACTTTCTCCACATCACTTATAATTTTATAAGTAGCTGAAGTAAGCCTTGGCTTGAGTAGATTGGAAACCTGTCAGTATCAGGACATATGATTATGTCCTCATGGCAATGGGAAAGGAGTTTGTAGCACTTTGTACCTAAAAGCAGCACCCTGGAACTCCCATATTCACCCCGTCATAGAATTATGATATATTTCATACAAAGCATGCCATGTAGGATATCATATGAAAGGTCATGAGCTGCTGAAACCTATTGTTCTGTCAAAATATGTATATCATTAGTGTCTGTGAATTAATGAGATTTTGGTGTATGGTTCTTAGTGAAATACGTTGTGAGTTTGGCAGTCACCCAATATTAGTTCTCCTGTGACCACAACGAAGAAGGTGATCAACACCCGGACAGGCATTGAATGATTATCACTAGCAACTGACCAGCAGGGTAATAGTAAACAAGGAATTTACAAACCAATGACAATTGTGCAAGCACCACACAATTGGGACTGCTCAGCTCTACAACTCAGTTGCACAAGACCACACCAGAGAGATTGCGCAACCCTATGACTCAGCAAGGCTGACCAAGCATGCCTGGGCTAGTATCTTCCAGGCATATGGACTGAGGATATAAAATAGGGGACCGTGGCATAATGCTTTAGCCTTTCTCCTCCCCCTTATGCTGGAAGCAACAAGAACATTGGGAAGACAAAGACTTGAACTGAGGCGACTGGTCCCAGGCTTATAGGGGAAGCCTGTGTACTAAGAACTATAATCTACCTGCAACATCCAGTGGGATGAGAAAACTGTTCGATCCAAATATTGCCTAGTGTAATAAGGTTTAAGATTTAGACTATACACTTACCTTTTATTTTCTTTGGTAACTATCTCTGACTTTTTATGCCTACCACTTATAATCACTTAAAAGCTATCTTTCTGTAGTTAATATTTATTTTTTACCTGAAACAGTGTGTTTTGGATTAAATGCTTGGGAAACCTCTGCTCAGTTTAAAAAGGCTGTTGTGTGTCCTCTCCACATCGAGGGAGGGGCAGACTGGGTAATAAATTTACACTGATTAGGCTTCTGACAGGGCAAGATGGTATATTCCAGGGTGCAAAGCTGGGGGCTTGGGAGATGTGCTAGTGCCTTTCTCTGTGTGATTCATGAGTGGCTCAGGGAGCATTCATGCAATTTACCTGGGTTTGGGGTTCCACATGCTGTTGTGCTGAATGATAACAGCATGTGGAGGGATTTGCTGCTTCTCACTAGCAATGCATTGTGAGAGACAGCCTAGGCTGGAGAGTTAAGGGGGCACAGCGGTACCCCAGTTCAGGTTGTACCCCAGGGATCCCATCACAGAGTTACCTACACAAATCTAGGAGGTATCTTCATGCCCCTTGATACCTGGAATGCATGTACTCAGAACAACGATAAGGGAGCATCACGACTTGGAATCATGTTCAGAACAAAAGACAAAGGGGTACACCATGGTACCAGAAACTAACAAGGTAAAAAGCTGATTAATTGAATCCAGTTTCAGATTACATATATAGTACCTTTTACTGGTAAACAAGTAGGATACAAAAAGATGACTTTAGGGATGTATCTTCAGGGAGCACACCTTGCTGCACGGGATTACTCTTCTGAGATGGGTATTGTACTGAATCTTTTCCCTGTACCATACAAATAAACCTGACTGACACTGGTTATTTGGTCTCTGGAATATATTTCATAATGAACCAAAGTGTGGTCCAATAACTGACTATACAATTTATCAACAGGGAGAAGGATTTTCTGTTGCATGAAACTATAAAATTTCAGACCCTTTCCATGGGTATGACTATAAGACAATAGCACTAAAAATTGGCACTATTTTCCACAGATGATGGTGATTTTAACAGCTATCTCACTCCTGAGTGTCACAAAGGCACAGAGAACACAGCTTCTATGGGTGTCCTGAATCCACCCAGATCCAGTTGCTGCCAGCCTGTTTATTGCAATGGTGCAAGACAAACACATCAAGAATGTCATGAGAAAGTGTCCTACCATGGAGGAAGAAACCTTTGGGAGAGAATTGCAAGTATCTCCAGGAAAATTTCAGGAGGATACAAGGGACCCCCCCAGGCCCATATACAAAGTACTCTGCATGGCCCCCAGTGCCTAACCCAACAGGGGAATGAAAAGCAGATGTCAATCCTACCTCTGTTTGTTGTACCTCAACTTCCTCTGATATGAGTAAAACAACAAAAAGTAAACACCTTTGTCTTGTTAGCTTGGGGATGGACCAGGTGCCATCTTTAAATTTAAGCTCTGTGAGGGGAAATGCATGCACACACTTAACTGAGTTCCCTTCCTCTTCACTGGCTAATTCACACTCGCCTGGCTGGAGTGGCTAGGCTGTGGCAGAGCCTCAAACGGGTCCTGGCTTGTGGCGTGGCTGGAGTCCCCCACCAGTCTTCTCCCTACTCCTCCTCCTTGCTGTTCATAGCAGGGGTCTCTGTCTTGGGCTCCTCCAAGATATCCAGGGTGGTCTGCAGGGTGCTGGTGGGGTCTCTGCCAAGCACGTCATGCAGTTCCTTGTAGAAGTATCAACACCAGATCTATTGTTGTGGTATCCCATCGCTCTGTGCATAGGCACCGGCTTCCTCGTTTCCCCGGGGGTACTCAACCCCCGCTCCGCCCCATGCCCCACCCCACTCCACCCCTTCTCCCCAAACCCCCACCCTGTCCCACTTCTTCCTGCCCCCACTCTGCTCCACCCCACCTCTTCCCACACCCTCGCTCTGCCCCCTCACCCTCAGCACCTCCTGCATACTGCTGAAATGCTGATCTGCGGTGGGTGCTAGGTGCTGGGGGGGGGAGAGGGAGGAGCTGAGCCACAGGGCCACCTGTGGGTGCTGAGCACCCACTATTTTTTTTCCATGGGTGCTCCAGCCCCGGAGCACCTACGGAATCAGCCCCTATGGCTCTATGCCATTTGGGGAGGTGGTTTTACTGAGTTGCTGTAAGGGAGTGCTTACATCGCTGGAGACAAATTTGTGTGGAGACACATGCACGCATAGCTTGATGCAAGGCAACTTATGTTGATCTAAATTTGTCGTGTAGTCCCAGCCTTACTCTAGTGAAGTAGACCTACTAAAATCAATGGGACTATCTGTACAGCATGGACCTCAGCAGGAGCTACTGGTACTCAGTTCCCCTCAGGATCAGATCCTGATAAGGGTTGCCAAAATTGTAACAGAAAAAGATGGCATCATTGAAATTGAAACAATTTTCCACCATTAGTTTCATAACAATGTTTTGTGAAAGTTCATGAAATTGGGACAAGGGATCCTACATCCAGGCTTAGAATTATCAGTTACTGAGATGGATGGTTGGTTGTTCTGCATTACATTCCACTGGATAGGTACAGGACTCAGGCCTTGAATAAATGTTGTGACATGATAGTACTACAGGAAATGCAGTTAAAACAACAAGAGAGCTTTTTAGTGCCACTACATCTTCTAAAATATAACAAGGAGCGCAGCAGTTTGGAGCTGCAACTGACAGGAAGCGGGGCCTGCAACAGAGCCAGTTATTGAGCAACCTAATGAATACAGCTGGCCTGTAGTAAGTTGCCTAACTGGCTCCACCACCTGATTGGTTGGAAGAGTCAGCAGACTGGCTCTTAAGCCCAGCAGCAATTCAATGGCTGCTTAAAGCATTTGCCCATGGGTCTGACAGCTCTTGGGTCTCCTTGTTCCTAGCTGTACTCCTCCCTTGGACCCAGCCTTTCCTCACTCCAGGTAACCCTTGGTTCTGATTCTTGACTTTGACTCTGGCATCTGGGGGTATACCCGTGTGGAGATAGAAGCCTGCAGCACAGCTCCAGCTGGCCTGCACCTGCTGACTTGGGCTCAGGCTGTGGGGCTAAAAATTGCTGTATAGACATCTGAGCTTGGGCTCCAGCCTGAGTGCTGGGACCCTCCACCTTCACAGGGTTCCAAAACTGATTTTGAGTGTGACGCTTTTGGCCCACAGAGGGTAAGAGATGTACTACTGTAACTCTGCAAGTTTTTAAAGTTTAGATCAGGAAGACGGCAATGATAAACTCAGTGCAACACACCTCCAAAATCTGTAAGTTCTCTGATGTATCTTGATTTAATATGAAACATTCCAGCAGGCTTTTGTCTTTTAATTTCAGTTCCTATTGCCCACACTTGGTTAAAAAATATAGAAATATGGACTCCATAACTCCGTCTATGGTGATTTCACATCATGTTAATTTACTTATTGATATAGGCAGCTTTTTGTGTAACAATTGCCAATTAATTACTAAGGTGAGATATCAAAATAATTTGTCCATAAAATGTATGACTTTTGTCCATTGTTAAAATGGTGGAAAATATGAAACTTTAAACATGGCTGAGCAGGTAGATTTTTTTTTTTTTTTTATTTTTAATATCCTAATCTTATTACTGTCTGTCTACATGCTCCCAGTTTGAATCTGTGATTGATTAATCAAATAATTATGCCTTCTTGTATTTCACTATCCACTTGAAACACAATTAATGAATTTATTAACCTATCTCTAATATCTGGAGAAATGGACAATCAATATAAAATAGCAATTAACTTTTTGTCAATTGTTTTTGTATGTATCTCAAAATTACCCTCCAGCTCATAAAGAAAACTGTCCACTCAGATCAGAATAATTCTCTGAATAGATGAACTGATTTACTATTATCCTTTATTTCCCAAACAAGGGCTGAGTCTTGCAAATATTACTTGTGTGAGTAAGGACTTACAGAATCAGTTTATATGCCTGAATTTCACTGTATTCTTTTGTGCTGCCTTTGAGTTGTATTACACTTCTTACGTTGTAAACACTGAGATATTGATTTAAACACTCTGGTTGACTGTGAAAAATGACTTTTAATCATTAGCATTTTTTGGAGTATCTATTCAGCAGACTCACTTAAATATCAATACATATATATCTTTATCTTGGAAATAACTATTTACATCATGTTATAAGTTGTCAACCAACATCCAGGCATTATAAAATTAATACAAGCCTATGGTAATTTACTTACAAAATAGTAAAATACTAAGCTTGGTTCATCACTTCCTTGATATTGCACCTTTTTGAGTAGTATAGACAAATCAGGCACAGTGATGAACATTCAAATGGTAACTGACTCCTTGAAGAAAACATTTTTTACATTTTCAATAAGCCTGGACCTGCAGTTGGGACAAATTCTCATTGAAATCAGGCAGACTTTCTCATAAGTAAGGCTGGCTGAGTAACAGAACAGGAGACCTGTTAATAAACCTTAAACAATGGGAAAGACAGAGATTTCCAGGTATTTTTTAAAGAGCAAAGACCTAAGAGATCATATTTCAAAATAAGAATTAGACCCTCCTCCCTTTGAAGTTAATAGGAGTTTTGCCTCTGACTTCACTTGGAGAAATATGGCACTATAGTTAATACAATAACACAAAACACCTAGTGACTCTGACATGAAAAAGGATCATTGGAATCGGGGTCCCAGAAATGAAATTATTTGGAGCAGGATTTTTAAATATAGTAATAGTTAAACTTTTTTTAAAAGAACAAAAGAACAACTGTATCCTTTTCTGCTAAAGAGAGGGTGGCGGGGGTGGGTTGGAATGATCCTTTCCAATCAGATTGCAGACTAAGAGGATCCCCTGGAAAATTAACTGGTGCAAGTAATGTTTTCAATAAGTGCATGCAAAAAGTTACTAGCGGTTGTTATTTGTGTTGTGACCAGTCAGGACCAGGCCCCTTGTGAAAGGTATTATGTACACAGGCAAAAAGAGGAGAGCTACTGCCCAAAGATTTTCTCATGGGGAAATCCCTTCCCAGTCTGCACCCCATAATGGTTTCTTACTCCAAAGAATCCATGCAGAGCCCTTCCAGTTGTGGACACTACGTTCTGGGGGGAAAATCAATGGAAAAAATTCTTCCATGTGAACCAAATGATAGGTAGTATATGGCCTAGGCCAGGGACCAACACGATGTAGCTATGAAAATAATGTGAAATATAATAAAGCAGTATTTGATCCCCAAGGTAAGAATTGTAGGTGACGTTCTTCTCTCTCAAGACTTGAAAACACTGCTCTGGGGCATCCAACCTTTTTTGCATGTATGGACCCCTAAAAAACTTTGAATGGAGCTGGACCCCTTTGGAAATCTTAAACGTAGTGTGCAGTCCCCCAAGGTCCGGACCACAGCCTGAAAACCACGGCCGTAGAGCTGCGCACTTGCGATCCTGTCGAACAAGCCCCCTTCAGGCTCATTGCAAGCGGACTCTGGGTTTCATTATAAAGCTTGTCCAGTGCAGTTGCAAAGCTCTGGGATTGAAATTCCCCAGACGGCGGACAGTCAGCCTGAAAGGAGCGCTAACAGAAGAGGATATTTTCTTCCTGCAAAGGCAGGGATCGGAAAGCTCGCTTTCCGCCTTTGCACATGTGACACAGCTTGGCGGGGGCACAGCTGAGAATTGCAGTCACCTCGCTCTCCTTGGGGCTGCAGCGTGGGGACAATCACATTCAAATAGCTTCAAAGAGTCCTGTGGCACCTTATAGACTAACAGACATATTGGAGCATAAGCTTTCCTGAGTGAATACCCATTTTGTCGGATGCATCCATGAAAGCTCATGCTCCAATACGTCTGTTAGTCTATAAGGTGCCACAGGACTCTTTGCTGCTTTTACAGAGCCAGACTAACACGGCTACCCCTCTGATACATTCAAATAGCTTGTTGGTTAAGCGGGTTTCCCCCTTGGTCCTGCCCTCCTGCCTTACTAATATTGCTGCATGTCAGAGACGCTTCCCTCTCAGTAACTGACCACTTCCCCGCTTCATCAATCCCATTCCTACGGAACAAGCAAAAAGAGTTAAAAAGCCAGCGATGGGTTTGGGAGAAGACGGGCTGGTTAGGCTTCGCTGGGAGGAAGTTCTACCATGCTAAAAAGCAGCTGCCCCGTCTATTTATTTCACGCACTTTGGGCTAGATCTTGCAACCCCTACTAATCCTTAGGTGACTATTCCAATGACTGAGGAACGCAGGGTGGCGATTGTCCGTTGACGATGGTACATTGTGACGGGAGCTGTCAGTCAGAAACTCCCGGGCTCCGAGCTGGCTCACTTAAGTCAAACGCAGCTTGTGATCGCTGTTTACTGTCAAATATTCCCTGGCGTTCCGATAGCACAGCGCGAATAGCCTTTTGCAGTTAATTTCACTGAAGGTGGCAAGCTCCTCTTGCAGAAATTCCAGCCTGAAACTGCCTTCCCCCTGCAGAAACCATCCTCTTTCTGCCCTCCTGCAAGGCTCCTGCTTAGCCCGTTATCACTCATCTAGCTGGCGGGATCAAAAGGCCATTGCTCTGCCTATGAATGGCTTGAGTCAGAAGGGAGACACAGGTTAAAACGGCAGGTAAATGCCCATTTTAGGGGAAACTAAAGCGGGGACGTGGGGGAGCAAAAACGAGCTCTTAAAAGTGAACCTTGTCTTTTGCTAGGGCTTCTACTGCGCGGCCTTTTGTGGTTCCGAAGCTGGTCGGGGGGGGGGGGAGTACAAAGCTCTTACATTGCGCATACTATAGCCAGGGATCGGCAACCTTCGGCACGCGGCCGCCAGGGTAAGCACCCCGATGGGCCGGGCCGGGTCCCCAGGTTCAGACGATTGCGGCTCCCACTGGTCCTGGTTCCCCGCTCCAAGCCCATGGGGGGCTGCGGGAAACAGCGTGCCAAAGGTTGCCGATCCCTTCTATAGCCTAACCCGCACACGGTGATACAGTAATAACAGCGGTTTTCCTCTAAGCAACAGCTTTTTAAAGGGCTGGGGCGGGAGCCAGAGAGCCCTGTTAAAGCAGGATCCTTAGAAAAAGGGAGAATTGCCAGACTGAACAGCGTTCTGTAAACCAGCACGAGACTGGAAACGTCGTTCTATAAACCCTCACGGAAATCGGGGGGCGAAGATTCAATGGGCGCTTGTCCGTGTCCTAAGCGAATGAAGGGATGTCTTAACTTCCCCCGGAGAACGCGTTAGAAATCGTGTAGACCTCCCTCTTCTTCTCCCTGAAATCCAGGGGGCGGGGGAGTTGCCAGTCTCTTCACTCGGATCCGGCTGTCCCTGTTGCTGGCACAGCCCCTCGGGGATGTAAAAGGCTCGCTGGGTAACAATAAGGGGAGCCTTGCAAGGCCGGACAGCGCTTTCAGCTCGCGGAGAGAGGAGCGGGGTGCGCAGTGCAGCAGCCAGCAGGAGAAGAAGGGTGCGGAATGCTGCAGCTTTCATTAACTTACGTTCAATAGGAACAATCTCTGCTCAGCAGCGAGGACCCGTAGGCGGGACCTGGCCTGCAGGTGAAGAGCAAAAGTCCGGGGTGTTAGTGGGGGACTTGCAATTCCCTACGGAAGCACTTAGCTGTCTCAGCCTTCTGGCCTTTCAAGGACTATCCCCGGAACCAACCGACCAACAGAGGGGTCTATTGACAGCTCCGTTCACCAGCTAAAACCTACGGCCGCCCATTGTCTGTCGAGATAACAGCTCCCTTTGGAAAATCAAACCCCGCTCTTCTCCCAAGGAAACTCCGCTAACGTCGCTGGCGGGTAAAGCCCCTCTCGTGCCCAGACTCCTACCCTCTCTCCCCTTGCAGGGACGCCAGACGTGTATATGTTACAGGAAAGTCTCACCCGCCGGCTCGGGAGAGAGCGATGCTCGTTCTTCCTCCCACCGCTGTTTGTACGGGAAAGTCTCTAGCCCAGCCACGGTTTCCGCGGCCGCGTGCAGGCGGATGAGCTCCCCGGGGAGGGCTGAGGCCGGGGGAAGCAAGGGGACAGGAGGGCAGAGTTGGTGCTGCCGATCTAGTTCTCCAAGGAGGTGGTGGAGAAGGAGGGTAGCATGGGGGGAGGGGGGGAGAGCAGCTGCTCTAGTCCCCAGAGGAGGAGGAATGGGGGGAGGGGGTGGCGCTGCTCCAGTCCCTGGAGTAGCACGGCAGAGGGCTCTCCAGGCAGCTCGGGGAGGGAGAAGATAGGGCACGTAGTAGTGGTGGCCAGTCAGTGCCCAGAGAGGAGTGTGCGTGGGGGTGGGGGTGCCCGGGATAGCCTTAGTGTAGGAGGGGGGCCGCGGGGCTGACGGCCGCGGGGCTGGCAGAAGGACGGGCTCCGGGTAGGGAATCCCGGGGCAGAAGCTGGAGCCGCGGGCGCTGGGAACACCCCGGGCCGGGCGCTGCGGGCTGTCGGGGCCGCGGGCGCTGGGAATACCCCGGGCCGGGCGCTGCGGGCGGTCGGGGCTGGGCGCTGGAGGGGGCGCGCTCAGCGCGGCGCGGGGCGGAGGCGGGCGGCCAGCAGGCAGGCCAGCACGATGCCCACGCCCTGCAGCAGCGCCAGCCCCAGCGCGGCCGTGGCGATGTAGAACAGGTTGTCGCTGACGAAGCCGGAGACCTTGGCGAAGCAGCCGTCGCGGTGGATGCCGCGGGCTTCGGGCGGCAGTGGGCTGTGTAGGCAGCCCCGGCGCGCCCGACAGCAGCTGCCCGGCACCGAGCCGTTGCGCCCCGGCTGCGCCAGGGACCAGGGCGAGGCGAGCCAGTCGCGGTAGCTCTCGGCCCCGCAGCAGTCCAGGGCGCGCTGCAGGGAGTCCAGGGCGTCCGCCTTCTGCTCGTCCTCGCCGTAGGCGCGCACCGCCTCCCGCAGCCCGGCCCGGAAGCCCTCGGCGATGTCCCTGCGGTAGAACAAGGCCGAGAGCCCCGCCGCCAGCCCGGCCGCCAGCACCGCCAGCTGGAAGGCCGCGTAGGTGCGCAGCAGGCAGCGGTGCTCGGTGGCGGCGCTGAAGCAGCCCAGGAAGCCCCAGACCAGGACGGCGGCGCCCGTGGCCAGCAAGATGAAGGGGGTGTTGGGGTACTGGTTGGCGGACAGCACCAGGTAGCTGCCCAGCGAGATCTTGGCCCAGATGCCCAGGGTGAGCATGGTCAGCCCCGCAGCCCAGAAGACGAAGCTGAAGGCCATGAGGAAGAGCTTGAGCAGGGCCATGGTCGCCCCCTCGGCGCTGCTGGCCTTGGGTGCTGCTATCGGGTGCTGCGGCTGGTGAGGAGGGGCACCCTGGAGAGCTGGTGCTGTGCGCGGCTGGATGCCACCCTTAGCTAATGCCCCTGCAGGGTTCTGCTGTGTGTCCAACTGGGAAGCTGCCGCTGGGTGGTGACGAGATTGGGGGGTGCCCTTGGGTTCTGCAGCTGCTGGGTGCTACTGGGAGCTTCTGCCCCCACTGGGTTTCCAGGCCAGTCCTTGGAGAGGGGACGCGCTGCGGCTCTCTCCCGGCTGCCGCGGATGAGAGTCCAGGCGATCGGAGTCCTCTTCCTGCTCTTCACTGCGGGATGGGTGGCCAGGGACGCCTCCTATTGCTGCTGGCACCGCCAGCGGCTGATCCTGCTGTTGGGCTTCCAGAGAGTCCCCGTGGGCAAAGTGCTGCCCTGGTAACGAGCGGCTGGGTTTGTACTAAAAGCTGCGCCTGTCACACCGGAGGATCCCCCGCTGGGAGGAGAGGACCACCTCCTCCCCGAGCTGTCACTCAGCCCTCCAGAGGCTCCTGCTGCGGCTTCTGCTCCAGCAGCGCGTCCTCCTGCCTGGGCACCAGGGCACCAACTGCTAAGTCGCTCGTCATGGTCCCCGCCTTCCCTTTTAGAGCAGGTGGGTATAGTTCTGAGGCCGCTTTTCAGTCAAGTGCCACATGGCAAAACCAGCGGGCACAGCACAGATGATTTCCAGCCCAGGCAAGGCTGGCCGGGAGTCCTCACCTGGAGAGCCAAGCAACCCTGCTCACATACCTATTTAAAAAGCTGGTCACAAGGTTGTTTTTAGTTCCCTTCCTCTCGGTCACTGGTAAAATTCCACAATGGAAACTTCTCCCATCGCTTGTGTCTCCCACATCAAAGCCCAGCAGATATGATTTCTGGTTCTTCTTGGGGACTATAGAAGTATCTGGTGTATAGGGGAGTCTGCCATACTGTGTTATGAAGAGGAATAAGAGTCTTGTAATCAGTCCCTCGCAGCCTATTTTGCTTTCCAGCCTACACATCATTCCGAGAAAATTTTTGTAGAAAACCAGGCTACAGCTTTGAAATGATAGGGCATGTCTGTTCTAAGCAACTACACCACTTTCCTTTGGTACTGCTAGTGCATAGCAAGCAATATGGGATTTCGGAAGGGACAAATAAATAAATTCTTCAGATCTTCCTCGATAGATTTTATGGTGCAATAAATGGAGGAGTATATGTCAGATCGATTGTTTTCTCTCTCGCCTTTGAACTGCACTAGCAAATGAAAAGGTTCTGCTGCTGGAGCCACAAGATTAATATTTGTCAGAATCTAGAGTGGTATGGGATTACATTCAGCAAAGGAACTAGCCCTTTGTAGTTACTGGTTCTGATTTTAATTCTAAGCACTAAAACAGAGGCCTACTCAAAATATTTTTAAAGAAAACATACAAATAAGTCATTAGTTTTTTTTTCATTTTATTTCCTATATTTGATCAAACATAGGACACTTCCTAGAAACAAATCCTAAAGCCATACAGTCAAGGTGAACATGATTTATTTACCATAGAGTAATTATTAAGTGTACAGGAAATCTTTCTTCCTGTTTTCGCTTTGCTAAGCATTAACTTTATTTACCTGGAGATAAGCATGAGCAATAAGAGAAAAAAATAGTTATGCAAGAAGGTTCATTAATAGACATTATTTGTACTACAGTAGCACCTAGAGGGTCAAGTCAGGTGGGACCCCATGGTGCACTTTACAAACACAGCAAAAAACACTCTCTGCCCCCAAGAGTTTACAATTTAAATAGGTAATACAGACAAAAGGTGAAGCAAGATCACAGGCAGCTGGGAATAAAACCCAGTTCTATCCAGGGGCCCCATTGAATTTTAGAAACTAGTGATTCATGGAACTTCAGCCTGAGTCCATTTCTTCTTAATGTGTTCTGGCAAAAACACACAAAGTATGTGACAATCTATTACTTACTCTTTTATTTAGGTTCATCACAGTGATATCAGTTCATTGGATACAGATATTCCTCAGGTGAATTGTGAGACATAAAACTGAATGCCAAGTGCCTTCAGGCAGGGAAGTGTCTTCTATCTCTATCTTTAATACCTGCATTTCTCATATTATGCTATTACTTTTACAAAATATTTATTAGCTTTTTAATAACAGTTGGCAAAAGAATCCTGATGTGTATAATTTTGAGAGTCTGCACAGTTAGAACTTTTGTTAACCTGATTCCTTCTTCCATAATGTAAATTCTGGTTCAGATTTGCCCTCATTTTCACCCTAGGTAAATCTGGAATAGCTCCACTGAAATCAGTAAAAATACTGACTTTTACTGTTTGTCAGTGGTTGTCAGTTCTTAGATAACATCAACAGCCTTGGCCAGAGCTGGCACTTGGTTTATCAGTATCAAAATCTCTAACATGACACAGACCTGAATCTCAGAGGAATATTGAGGATTTTCAGCCTCTAAAGTAGAGATTACTCCTATTCCCCTCCTGTCTGCCAGGGTACACTACAATAGATTACACTATATAATGTCTAAACTTCTTCTCATGTCACAATGCCAGTATCCACAATTAACTGTAGGAGGTCATATGCCTGACAGAAGCTTTATGGATATAGGCTAAGCATGTCGGAAATCTCAAAACTGGAGGCTAAAAAGAGCAGGTCCTCATTGACATAACTGGAAAAATACAGTTTAACCTCTCTATAAATACATAATCAACCCTACCACAGTTGGTAGATGCTTAAAGCCACCATCACAAGGGATCAGCATCAGCTATGCTTCCTGGACAAAGAAAGCATGATTTCCCCCCTCCCCCCACCCCCCAGCCAGCTGCACTGGAAGAAAAATATTTCATCCTTGGGGCAGGGAGTAGCAAAAACTGAGCCCTTTGGGCCAGAGCCTGGATGTAAATTGGCATATTTCCATTGACATTAATGGAATTCAGCAGTAGAAGAGCAATGGAACTACATCCATTTACACCAACTGAGAATCTGGTCCTTCAGAATGAAATAATAAAACAATATATCAGAATATCCTCTTGTCCTCCAGGCTTTTATATGGTCAGAACTGAAGAGGTATATTTTAAACAGAAAGGAGAAAAGGCAGGTAACATTCAAGCTGACAGGAGAAGTAAAGAAATGAGATGCTGTTACTATTAGAGCCATCACATTTCAGTTCTCTTCTGATGAAACCAGAAGATACCTGCAAACAATGGGGGAAAAGGGGACCTGGGGATTACAGTGGCTGAGAAGCTGGATATGTGTCATCAGTGTGCCCTTTTTGCCATGAAGGCTAATGGCATATTGGGCTGCATTAGTAGGAGCATTGCCAGTAGATCAAGGGAAGTGATTATTCCCCTCTAATCGGCACTGGTGAGGCCACATCTGGAGTATTGCATTCAGTTTTGGGCCCCCCATTACAGAAAGGATGTGGACAAATTTGAGAGAGTCCAGTGGAGGGCAACAAAAATGATTAGGGGGTTGAGGCACATGACTTATGAGGAGAGGCTGAGGGAACTGGGCTTATTTAGTCTGCAGAAGAGAAGAGTGAGGGGAGATTTGATAGCAGCTTTCAGCTACCTGAAGGGGGGTTCCAAAGAGGATAGAACTAGGCTGTTCTCAGTGGTGGCAGATGACCAAACAAGTAGCAATGGTCTCAAGTTGTAGTGTGGATTGGTTGGATATTAGGGAAAACTATTTCACTAGGAGGGTGGTGAAGCACTGGAATGGGTTACTTAAGGAGGTGGTGGAATCTCCATCTGTAGAGGTTTTTATGGCAAGATTGTAACTTGCTGAAATTAAGTTTTAGTCACTAGAAAGTGTATTTTGTTTCTAACCAGACCTGTCTTTTATTCTTGCTTAGTATCACTTAAATCTTTGTTAACAAACTTATTCTTGTTTATTACAAAACCATCTCAATGCTGTGTATTAAATTATAGGGTGAGTCCTCAGTTAGCCAAACAGACTGGTGTGTACTCTGCCTCTTTGGAAGCAGCAAACTTTACTTCTGTGAGTGTCCAATGAGAGGGACTAGACACTGCGAAGAGACATCTCTGGGGACCTGCGAATTGGGGTTCACTGATTGTTACCAACAAGGCAAGGTTTGGACTGAAGAGTTTGCTGGCAAGGCAGACAAGCTGGTGTGTTTTAGCAGCTGCAAAACTCTCAGTTGCTGAGGCTGAGAGAGGTCCACAGGGGTCCACAGTTCTGGGTACCCTGAGTAAGATGTCACAATACCCATTCCACCCATCACAATGGGAAGAATTATGCCCTAGTTCTACATGGCTTCTTTGGGGAGTTATGGGGAGTAAGGTCCCATCACTGCCCTCTTTGAATGGCTACCTAAAATATACTTGGACCATGGGTCAAAGCAAAAGGGTGGGTGGGATGAAGAATAGGGGTGGTGTGGCTTGATCCTGTCCCCAAGTATGAGGAGGGGAAATGGGAATGGGGAAAACCTTGAGGTTTTTCAACATTTAAACCCACATTAGCTATGTAAAGTATTGGTTGGGGGGAAATATATTGCCTCATTCTAGGCCTGTCTCCAGTTTGTGCATTGGTTATGAATAACCACAGAAGTCTGCAGATGTTCCACTTGAACTGAACTGTGAATTTACAGATGTCAGGAGAACTGTTTTTCCTCATAACTAACAATTAGGTCTTCTATGACTCGTTTGTCTCTCTCAGCAGTCTATAGCAGTCTTCAGAGCAGTTTTTTCAACAGTTTTATCATTTCTTTCTCCCTCAAAACCACTTGGCCTGAGATTTGGTCTATAATAATAATAATAATTAATGGAGATATCCCATCTCCTAGAACTGGAAGGGACCTTGAAAGGTCATTGAGTCCAGCCCCCTGCCTTCACTAGCAGGACCAAGTACTTATTTTGCCCCAGATCCCCAAGTGGCCCCCTCAAGGATCGAACTCACAACCCTTGAAGGTCAGTCTACACAGTGTCTACATGTTTACATTTCCTTGAATACTGACAATATCTGGTGGATAAATGAGATTTCAAGCTTCATGGGTGGCTGGCTGTAACTATGATATTGTGTCAGTTTCTAAAGTTTTGGTTTACTACATGCAGATTTTTTTTTATTTCAATAATTTGGGGGAAAACCCACATTTTCTTTTGACCATTTTAGGAAACTGCTGTAAGATTAAATGCTGTAAAGTGACTAGTTTTACAGAGTGATCTAAACCAAAGCATTTGTGAGAAACAGCTGTAAAATATAGCTCAAACCTCTTCAGTTACTTACCAAATTACTGATATAATCAAGAAGTGAATAGTGTTTTTCTTTACTCAGTCTATTTATTTATCTGAAATGTAACCTCTAACTGCTATAATAGGAGAATATCTAGTGGTTAGAATATAAGACTGGAAGTCAGGAGATCTGCATTCTTTTCCTTCCTCTCCCACTGATTTGCTGTCTGACCCTTGGCAGTCACTTAACCACTCTGTGCCTCATTTAATCTATCGGTAAAATATGGATGATAATACTTCCTTGCATGATAGGGATTTTGTGAGGCTTAATTAAATTAGTAAAGCACTTTCACATCCTCAACCTAGGTTCACTTAGGTCACAAAACAAGATTTTCATGAAGTTACTTACAAAGGAATCCTGTAAATCCTGAGGTATTGACAAGTTGTTCTATGCCATCACTGTATATTGCTGATATTATTTATTTGTACAATGGAAGCACTTACGAGCAACAGTCACAGACCAGGACCCCATTGTGGTGGGTGCTGGACAAACACAGAACAAAAGGATGGTCCTGTGACCTTGCACTCCATAATGTTTCATGGAAATATGCTTATGAGTGTGACTATAATGTAACTGGAATATGCTTAATGCAAAAGGTCTCTTGTAAGGTATCATTACAAAGCTTATAATCTACTGAGTATGTTCATCCTATTTGTATGAATATATCATTCTTGTATCTGAAACTAGGAATACCAAGTATAACTCTGAGGTCTTATTGTAATTTATGCAAAGTGTGGGCCATTAA